TTTATTATCACGAAGATAAACCTAGATGGTGTGAAACGTTTAAAATTGCTATACCCATAGAGGAATTTAAGCAAGCTCACTTAAAATTTGTGTTCAAGCATCGTAGTTCTAATGAAGCAAAAGATTTAACAGAAAAACCGTTTGCTTTAAGTTATATTAGATTAATGCAACGCAATGGAACAACTTTACTAGACATAAAACATGAGATGTTGGTTTACGAATTAGATCAGGAGAAATATGATGAGAGTGACACATCGTATTTAAAACTGCCATCGACACATGGAGAATTGGTATGTTTATTTATTTATCAAAGAGTGAAGAAATTTAATCTTTCTTGTTGTTTACGTAGTATAAATGAAAATAATTCAGTTTGTGACGACAATTTACTCGGTAAATTACAGTAAATTATTCTATAATTTTGACACGTTGGGAAGATAGTAATCTAGAAAAAAATTATAGCAATAAAACAATCTTGATATAAAGCTCATTTAGCATAAAGGATCATTTAGCCTTTAAGACAAGTAAAACATATATGAATATTTAATTCTTATTTTCTATAAAATATCTTGATACTGCATATTAATATATTATATATAAAACATATAGTAATTAAGTACTAGGTATACTAGGTACACAGCAAATAGAGAAAATTAAAAAAATTTTATTATGGTTTTTAAAATAAGAGGGACAAAAAGATGGTAATATATAGTCTTGATCTATATTTTTCATACTATTATATTTTACATGCTTACAGCATTTACATTTATTACCTTGCTGTTGCAGCAACTAGATTGTAATATACAATATAAAACTTTTACTAGTATTTTAAGAAATGAAAACTTTAATACTGTCAAAAAATTATAAATAGTTTCCTTTTCCTCATCTGAGAGAAAGACATTTTAGAGATTATCGGATATACATTTGGATATACACATACAAAAATATAAGAAGAATGTTGCATTCTATCTTATGCATTAGTGAAGAAAACATAAGTACAGTCTTTTTGTGCATAAACTATAAAAAGAACAACGAATTTGAGCAAAATCAATAAATTATTATCTTACCGTAATTTTACTGTTAATAATCGTCACTTTAAATCTAATGGTGAATTTTACATCTTTACGTTAAAAATGTTTAATCTTTTCTTTTGATATGTTGATTTATTTTAGGTTGAGTTAAACATGGAAAAGAACCCAAGTTTAGGATCATTAACGTTAAGCAATAAAGATAATTTTTTTATAGCAACCAATGTTTGCTCAACTAAATTAATGCAAAATGTAGATTTGTTAGGTTTACTTAATTGGGCACCACACAATACTGATTTGAAGGAGTCATTAGCAGCTTTAATGAAAATGGATGGAGAGGAAATAGTAAAGTTTCTGCAGGTAAAATAAATTTAACATAATCGCTCATTAAAAACATTTCTGAAAATCGAACGATTTTATATAATATGATGTTTATATAAAGAATAATTTTATTAAACAATATTATTTTCTAGGATGTTTTGGACGCTTTATTTAATATCTTAATAAATAATTCTGATAGTGATGTGTACGACGATATGGTCTTTGAATGCCTTTTATATATTATCGACCTTGTATCCGATAGAAAGTATCAGCATTTTCAACCAGTATTAGATTTATATATTGCTGAAAGTTTCTCTGCAACTTCTGCATATGAAAAGTTAATTGCGGTACTACGTAATCGTACAGCCATCATCAGCAACAACAACGAGCAAGAACATAATTTACTGTTTGAGATAATGAGAAGTCTACAAAATTGTATGAGATCCATCGTTAAATTTCAGCTTCTATGTACTGAGTATGTTTAATTTGTTTTATTCGCATAGTTATGCGTTGTTATAAATAAAGCATTTTGTGTTTGAATCTGATGTAAATATAATTTATAAGTTTGCGATGTAAATAAACTTATACGATATAATTAATACACATTTAAAATTTACAGATTAAATCAGGACCAAGAAGAATTCTCACAAACATTGACTGAACTATTACGATCTATCGTTAATCTAATGTATTATGAAACAGATGAAACGCTGTTGGTTCAAAGAGCTTGTTTAAAATATTTACCGACTACAATACCTCATTTGTTAAGAGTGTGTAGTGGAAAGCAACTAAGTACAATTTTCACAAATCATTTACTAATGATTTTACCAGCAGGCAAATTAACCAAGCAAAAGATGATGACGGTAAATGATATCGTTCACAGTCCACTTTTTTTGGATATAGAATGTAGAAATATTCTATTGCCGAGAATTACCATACTCGTAAGAGACTTACTGGAAGTTAAAGAAGAGGTAAGACGTTAAGAAAATGTGCTATTTCTTGCTACAATTTGCTAACTCACAGTTTAATCAATTTGGAATGTACATGTTCTCACTTATCTATATTTAAAAAAATCTATATTAATTAAAAAATACTTATATATCAGCATCGCGACTACTCCAGTAGAGAAGAAATAATTTTTACACTAAATGCAAGGAATTTTAAAATCTCCTACAGAGATAAAGCCGTCTATTTGAATAACTGTTTAACACAGAACAATGATGTACCTTGCACCTGTCTGTTATGTTGCATTACATTTTTAGGATCGTTGATTCTTGTTACATTAATCAATGTGAGTTAGTTTTTATGTAAATGTATTAGACCGCAGAGTGATATATGTCATGCATACTAATTTAATAAACACACGGATTCATATATTCTAATGATAAGTTTTCACGACTCGATACTAGATAAATATAATTCAAGTAATCTAATTTTTAAGTCTGCTTTCGTGTCTCTATAGGTGGAATTATGCGTCAAGATATTATCTGACATCTTGGAATTGACCTTCAGAAAAAACATAGGTAGCACAATTTTGGATGTCGAGGAGATAATGTTAACATTGTTACGTACTATTATACAGACATTTATATCGATTGATAAAGAAAATCCCTTGGTGGGAAACTTAGTCTCGGTTATGCTGGCCATATTTAGGTATTCTCAAAATCTCAAAATATGAAACTATTTGCAAAGAAATTTGCGAGTGAACGATAAATATCTTTAATTTTTTATGGATTTTTCAGGCAAATGACGCAACACCATTATGAAGTATACATTAATCACTTTGAAACAAGAATCGACTTACTAGATTTTCTATTGGAGATATTGTTGGTCTTCAAAAATTTAATTTCCAGAAGTGTATTTCCAGGCGACTGGTGTGAAATGATTATGCTCCAAAATAGTATTATCTTGAAATCCTTACGATATTTCTCAGGCACAATTAGAGATTATTTTTTTACTGAATTTGAACATCAAGTCTGGTTAAACTTTTTCCATTGCGCTATTGCATTTCTAACTCAACCTGCCTTGCAGTTAGAAGTATTCACATCAGCGAAACAAAACCGCATTATTGCACGTTATAACGATATGCGCAGGTATGTTTCTCATGTGATGTTATTACATTATATCTGACATTACAGTATATCTGACATTATTAAAACATTAAAGAATCATGAAATCAAATAAGAAGTATACTGTTCATTTTTTAACGTTTTTCGAGACAAATTATTCATAGCTGACTTCCTCTGTTTAGATATTTATATTAAATATTGTATAAAAGGATACAGAACGCGAAAAATTAATATCAACTTCTTACACATGTGGCACATTACAGAGAAACTGCGTTCGAAATCCAATCGATGTGGTTCAGCTTGGAGCAACACAAAATACTCTTTATACCTGATTTAGTTGGTGCAATTCTCGAAATGGCATTAATATCGGAAACTAAATTGAGGAAAACTACTATTCCCATCTTTTTCGACATGATGCAATGCGAATACTATAGCTCACGCATAGTAGAAGGATATGGGGATACCAAACATGATCCCGCTAATATTAAAGCCAATTTCATGGAATACGAAAAAGAAATGATTGCAAAATTAGATATTCTGGTATTGTATTTTTATTATTTAAAGCAACAAAATATTTTGTATAATCTCTCTCTTTCAGCTTGTACTGTCATCAAATTTATATATTTTAATAACATTTTATTTCATTATTTTATTGTATTATATTAGAGCTTAATATTTTTCTGTTAATTTTTAAATTAAATTAAAAATTGTTCGAACATCAAGCAACATTTTAATTAAAAATTTTTAAATTTTAAATTAATGACATTATTCAAGTATTACTTCTATTATAGGTAGAAGAAGGCAGAGGTGATGAGCAATTTCGTACAATTTGGTCTGACGTTATGGGTTCCTTGTGCGAAGAACATTCCACAATGCAAGAACAAGGTTTACGCTTTGTGGACACTATTGCTAAACTCATGGAACGCTTGTTGCACTATCACGATATTATTCACGCTGAATCGCAAGAACATCGTATATTTTGTACTACGAATTTGTTAGAATTCTATTCTGAGATTAACAGAAAAGAGATGTATACTAGGTAAGTGAAAAACTCTTTTTCTCTTCGCGCGTTTCTAATTTTTTATTATTATTAAACTTAAGTTACTTGGTTATATGATATGTTTTAGGCCCGATTAACCTGACAAATATCTTGTTGTTGGATATTTTATATTACAACTACAAAATAATGTAATGGCTTTTAATATAAATTTAATAATACATGGACTTATTTATTTACAGATATGTAAACAAGCTGTGTGAACTACATCTAGAATGCGATAATTATGCAGAAGCAGCTTATTCTTTGGAGCTTCACAGCCAATTATTAGAATGGAGTGATGAACCTTTGCCTCCTTTCTTAATATCGCATAGGTAATATTATCAAACAAATGATTTATATATTAAGCTTGTTGTGTATTAATCAAATAAATATTAAATAATTATATAATTAAATAATTATGTAATTTTTCAGATATCCGTTATGCCAAACCCACCGTGAACTAAAGATAGCGTTGTATAAAAGCATGATGGAATATTTTGATAAAGGGAGAATGTGGGAATGTGCTCTTGCCGTTTGTAACGAATTAATATCACTATACCAGACAGTAACATTGGATTACTCGCAAGTGTCTATATTATATATACGCGCAGCCGAATTTTTTGATGCCATAGTGAAACAGTTAAGACCTGAACCAGAATATTTCAGAGTTGCGTACTACGGCAAGGGACACCCTGCATTTCTTCAAAATAAGGTATTTGGACGTGTAGATATTATCAGATAAGTTTTTCATCCGACTTTATTCTTATTTGATCTTTTACTTGCGATAGGTATTTGTTTACCGGGGAAAGGAGAACGAACGACTAAGTGATTTTTGTTCAAGAATACTGAATCAGTTACCTAATGCAGAGCAAATGAGCAAATTCATCTCTCTGCCTACCACAAAAATGTTGGAATCTAATCATCAGTATGTACAAATCAACAAAGTAGAGTCATTAATGAATGAAAAGAGACATGAGCTTAGTGGCAAACCAGTTACTGCGGAAGCTATTTTAAGGTACACAATTTAATATGTCGTCAGGAAACAAATATATGTAGAACTTAAAAGTATTCACTTTACTTTACAATTTTATTCATTTTTATTCTCTTCACATTTTATTTATTTAATTAAATTATTATTCGTTTTTTATGTTTGTAAACTCATCTTTCAGGTATCATCGTCATGTAAATGACGTGCAACGCTTCAAATTTTCAAGACCTGTATCAAGGAAAGAAATCCTTTCAACATTGTCAGCTGGTAGCGACAAAGAAAAGGAAGCAAATGTTGGTACTAGCAGTAGTAACGAGATTGCTTCGTTATGGTTAGAGAGGACAGTACTTGTAACAAGTCATCCATTCCCGGGAATTCTTCGGCGGTTTCCTATAACATCTAGCGAGACATACTTAGTCAGCCCCCTGAGAGATGCAATTGAAACTATAGAAGCTATAAATACTGAATTGAGAGACCTCATTATTGCTCACAAGTTTGTATAACATTCTTTTAGAATTTACAACCGTTAGGATGGCTAGTATATTACAGTATATTGATTTACTCGTATACCATTTGTAATTGCTCATTATTAATTTATTATTTAATATTATTAGCGTACTTTTCAATTATGCTAAAGATATATAACATATTGTAAACATACGTATTTTCTGTACAGAAACAATCCCATTTTCTCACTAAACTCTCTAAGTATAAAATTGAATGGCATATTGGATCCTGCTCTCGATAACTATGAGAAAGCTTTCCTCAATACGGAGTATAAGAAGAGCCATCCGGAAGAGAGTTCTGATCTCATTAAGTTAGAAGGCCTCATTGCGGAACAAATTCCTTTACTCAGCGTGGGTCTTCAATTGTTTAATGCGGGAGTCTCGTTTGACGGGTCGAAAAATGCCTGATGTTTAGAAATTTTCTATGCGAAGACTAATAAAGATATGTAAATAAACTTTTTTGTAATATGAAAAAGCATCCTTAAAGTATTAAAAAGTTTTGGTCTTTTTAAATATTCTTTGTTAAAAACGAAACGACACATATAATTGTTAAGTGCTGTCAGCGGTGCATGTGTTCTCGGCATGCAGCATAACACCTGTCACAGTTATCTAAAAGCAAAAAACGAAAGATTTTTTTAAAGTTAGATAGTGTATCTAAAGATACTGAACCTAAATTTAAGAAAAGATATGTAACTTCGAAAGAGTTCTGGCGGTTAGAAAAACAAAACGCTTTTTCAGAGTAAGATTATATATTGTGCTTAAAAATATTATAAATAAACAATAGCATTCAAATAATAGGTCCCTGAAGAAAAGTATTGTTACGTGCGTCGCCTGATCTCGATCGTCAGTTGTCGTTCACGGGAGTCGATCGGCTCCGGTCAGCTGTTTGCTGCGGCAACGAAGTGTA